AGAACGGCATCCTTGCGCTGCATTGAGGAAGTGTTACACTTGCGCCTTCGATCGCAATGCTGTTTGACGTACAGGTAGTCCATGCAGAAGAACAAGGTCACAATCATCTATGGCTTAGGGGCCGATTATGTACCTCCCTCACTGCCTGTCGATGTACAAGCTACTGTGGACACAATTATCGTGGCAAGGCACAAGATACATTGCTGTGACTTGTAATCCATGCAGTAGCCAGGTCATTGTAAATTTAAGTGCTCCGGGCAATAAAACCGTCCTCACGATCCGCATTCTTCAGGGGCACCCAACCAGAATATAGTTCAAAACACCACTTAAACATAGCCTTGTTGAACGTATTTTAGTATTTAAAGGGTAGATATAGGCATAATTTTATCCCCGAAAAGTTTTCATCTGTTCGGATTTCCTAGCTGAAAGTCTAGTGATCCGCCTGAAATTATTTCAGCCAGTGAAAAGGCTCCCGAAAATTCTACGTGACCTTTTTAAGGTAAAAATCCGTTAAAAAACGGGCAATTATACCACTTTTTAGATGTTCGAAAATCCTAGGAGAGACAGGCAAGTAAGAGTTTTACAACAAATGTTCCGAAAATTCTAGATCTCAAATCGTCTTCAGAACAGATATTTTCCGAAAATTGACGTTGGGTGCCCCTGATTCTTCCTTTTCAAGATGAAGGATGTCCGTCGTACTTCTTGTCACAACTAGGTAGCGAAAAGACGGTGCTCACTGCAATGATCAGAACGCGAAGGACTGCATTGGCGCCACACGAGAGATGACAGAGATTGTTCAAAGAGTCAATGAAATGGCCTTGAATGAGACGGAAGTGCCGCGAATATATGAAGCGATCGCCTTGTCTTTACCGCTCTCGATGTTGAAGATGTACAGATCTCCGTGTCTGACATGTAACCTAACGGTGTTCAGCTATCATGTTAACATGTGAAATTTACCATAGACTTATTTTTGATAATGAAATCAATAAAGTATGCGTGTGGTGCTGGTATTAGCTTAACACGCGCTATCGCCTAGCGCCTCGCAAGTAGCCTGTGAACAGGCCTTTAGTCGAGTGGGGTGGGGAGAGGGAAAAGCGAAAAGGACTGTGGACAGACCTTTGGGGCTGCCGTTCCACGGAACCCGCTGTGCATCAGATCCTGATGCAAGCTCCTATTGGCGAGAACACTGACTGTTGACAGGTCTGATTGACATCGGCTTTTCGGTCGGCACGTAGCACGCGATTTGATCACAGAGTGGCAATAACAAAACAGTCCAAAGACTATTACCACGGGGAGGAACTACGCGCTCTGGTCAAAAGACTCAAACTGTCTTTAAAAAAACACTAAGCTGGAGTTTATAGATACCAAAGCACGATGCAATTCTCTATAGCTGATGTACCTTCGGTTTAAGCTGCATTTCAATCTTATAAATAACCATCTTTTTAAACACTGACGAGCTGCAACATTGCAGAAAAATCACATTTGCTCAGTGAAAATGTAGAACCTTCCAGATAATAATAATCTACCCCGCAGAGGAAAAAACTTATGGGAACAAGCAGCATTTTGGCATAAAGTAAAAGTCGTGTCGGCCTACCTTGTAATTCCTGTCGGCGATCGAAGCGCTGCTGATCTCTTTGTACTTGTCTTCGAAGCTTCACGTTCTGGAGAAGTCATGATAGTATCCGTACCTTCCACATTCCAAGTTCGCTCATTGGAGCGGCTTGTTAAATTACAAACCGAACTAGCAAGACGAACGGCTTATTAATCCTCTTACCGGAGATCAACGACTTTTTGCAAAATCAACAATGAGGTTCATGCTCCATTTCACTTTGTTTTCAGACGGAGCAAACACCACTCATTTCCTGTTAATTTTCCCAGGAGTTACTCACGCGCGAAATAGAGTACCGAAGTGATGACGTCATAAAAATGAAATTTGTGAAATTATGGGATTTGTTAAGCTATTCTGAAAGAACAACGTCCAAGACGCCTACTTGCCAAAAATTAGCAATTCGGGGCAAATTGTCTCTGAGATATTAGCTCAGTTATAATGTGACGATTCCATACAAATCCTTCTAAATTTGGCTTGGTTCATAAGATTAGGAACCAGGTAAGATTTAGAAGGATTTGTATGGAGTCATCGGAGCATAACTGGGCTAATATCTCAGAGACAATTTGCCCCAAATTGCTAATTTTTGGCAAGTAGGCGTCTTGGACGTTGTTCTTTCAGAATAGCTTAACAAATCCCATAATTTCACAAATTTCATTTTTTATGACGTCACACTTCGGTACTCTATTGATTGACCGATAACGATCTTACTGACAGATGATCGGCAGGATAATTACAAGAGGCGGAATAGCGGCCTCAAATGTTTGTCTACAGGCTCTCTCCCGCCCTTTCCCTTCCCTTTCCTGGCTATTTTTCCCCAAACAGAGAGCCTGTTCACAGGCTACTCGCAAGCGATCATAGGTGGTCCATCGACTGGACAAGGGCAAGGGCAATGGTCGCCGACTATGTTTATCCCTCACTGTCTCTCGAGTTTCAGATTGGTCCGGCGATTGCTTCGCAAGACACACTAACGGCGGCATCACCGCCCTGTTGTGCTTGCGACTTCGATCGCAGTCGCCCTTAAACTTTTTTTCGGCGGCTTTTAGATGATGACGTCACATTTTCAAGTAATATAAGCAATGGTCAGACTCTCCAAATTTCATAATGCCCTGTTTCTGCAATGGAGGAAGGTCAAGAAAAGGTGGAAGAATCTCAAAAGAGTAGAACACCATTTGTCACCACCTTCCATCCCAGGAACCTGGTTGGCGGGAAAATCATTCGTCGAAACCTTCCAGACCAATCACCAGGTACTTTTCTTTGTAACAGGACAAGTTGCCGCACATGTCCCCATGTCAATTCATCATCCACAATTACAACACCCAAAGGGCATGTTAACATCACGGGACATTTTTCCTGTACCACTTATAACGTGGTTTATTGTCTGTCATGCTCCAAATGTCCATCGATAGTGTACATTGGAGAGACTGGAAGAAGGTTGGCGGACCGCTTTAGAGAGCACCGCAGGGATGTCATCAACGGGAGAAATGACCTTCCTGTACCTGCCCATTTCAACCAAGCCAATCATACACTGGAGGACATGAAGGTTGCGGTATTGAAGGCAGGCCTAGCCAACCAGGAATACCGCAAGAAGCAGGAGACTCTTTTGATTTGCAAGTATTGAACCGTGGCTCCTAGTGGCCTTAATTTGAGACTTTGATACTCTGACGTATGACGCGCGCGCTAGTGTGCAATTGGGCACGTGAGCTAATTTAGCGAACTTTATAACGGATTTAGTCCTGTACCCTGAAGAAGGCAGCATTACCGAAAAGTCGGTCAAAACTCTTAATTTTGAAGTGCGTCGTTTTTACAATTTTCAAATTAAGATTAGTTAACTACGTTGCGCAGGGTTTTTAATCTTTATTACGATGTTTTTGCTTGTCAGTAGTACGGATCCACGATCAAATTTTCAAGCGAACTGCTCCGCTTAAATGGATAAATACATCGGTTCCAGAATTAAATAAACTTTTTCAATTTTTTTTTCTTTTTATTGTTTTGTGTTAAATCATTGATGACATAAGTTTACTAACACGGTAGCACCTGAGTTGCCTCGCATTTTATTCTCATCAAATGGCTTCTAACAAAGTTGTCTAGAGCATAAGCTGAATTAGGAAAACCTTTTCTTCTTCCCTTCATGTTTTGAATCTCATGTCCCCTCTTTTCTTCTTCCATGCAAGAAGACGTTTTGTAGGTATATAGAACATACCTTTAACTAAAAGAAAATTATATAGAACTTTTAGGTTTAAGACGATTTGCCTCTTAAGTAAGATGCCAAAAATTTCTTTAAGATCACGTTTGATCGTAGCTTAAGATGTCACTCCTCTTAAATAACATGCTACCAGCTTAATTAAGGTAAGACGTATGCGCCTCAAATTTAGACGCAAAAAAATCGAGGATGCTAGTTTAAGACGTTTGTAAAATCAGTTTACACCAAGACGGGAAACATCTCACAGAAAAGTAAGAGCTTACCCGTCTTCTAAGATGGTCGACATCTTACTAAGAGCGTATCCGTCTTAAACTTATTATGGTCGACCTATTCCTCTAAGACTCTATATCTTAAGATAAGGCGAGTTTAGGCTTAAATTAAGAAAGTGATGATCTTAGGCAAGATGCTGGGGGTCTTAATTTAAGATGTTAGTGTTTACGGAGTAGTTGTTTAAAACCTTGCCCGTGAGTCATAATAAACGTGGCACACAGAAGTTTTGATCCCTTGATCCTCTCTCCCCCCTTATTTTTTGGTCAAAGATGCTGGCCGTGCAATTGAAGGAACAACTTTCAACGTTGGGTAGGGAGGGGGTGAGTGCTCTATTTCACAGAAGAAATCCAAAAAGGAACGAGGCCAACATCGAGCCATGTTGACCGAACAAGCTTGGTCAATAAAGGATTTATTATCAGGCCAAAGAGATGCCTTTTTCTTATGGGACAAGCGGGAAAGATGCGCCTAACCCACTGTCTTATCCGCGGGTAGCCAATCAGAAAACAGGACATGCTGTCGTCCATTTAGGTTCTTGAGAGGATGGGTCCGTATTCTCTGAAGAAATAAATTACATTGTGGCTAAGACAATTTAGCGGTTTTCAGCCTATTCCTTACATAAAATCTGAATAACATGTTGGTTTTCCGTAAATATGACTTTAACAAGAAAAATTGAAGCACTGAGGGAGCACTTGATCACGTGAATTTAAAGATGTACATTGAAATTTGATAATTCATTAGAAACTATCAACCTGTTCCAAATTTTAAGCTTAATAGTTTATTGTATACAGCGAGTCTTACTAGCAAATTGTAGCCTATAACAAGGTTAAAACAGTTGACGGAATAACTCAACCGCCACAACACACTCTCACGACGACAACAACTTTAAGCAACAATTTTATTGCTGGTTGAAATCCAATAAAACAGTGACAATAAAATTATTTAGCCTATGATTTAATTTTTACATTTTATCTCATGTTCATGTTCTCATGTTCATGTTCAGGTTAATCAAATGTTAACAAGATTTTATCTTGTACGATCATGTAAATAATAGTTACGTTAACCCAAAGTGAGAGACTAAAACAGTCTGCTATAAAGCTAAAAATCCAATGCTAGTAGCGTCCTCAGTTCATCATTAAGCGTTAAACAACCTGCAGGTCGAATATCGCTTGTATATGATTCTTACATGAAAAAATTCCCATGAAATAAATAATAGGAACTATGAAATTGCTTAAGTATTTACAAAATCATTTAAAAAGGCGTGTTTCAACTCCCTATACACAGGCATCTCTGATCACGCGTAATATGGTATATTAAAAAAAACGCCTGTTCAGAGGAGCAAGCGGAGGAAGTTGACAAGAGGCCTGCAGAGTCACCAACGTAACAGGTTTCGCAGGAAGATCTCACATAGCCTATTCCAGGCTCTCAGATAGTTAGGACTTCGTGAAAATAAAACAAGCCAAGCGAAATCAACACACGCGCGATCTGGGGAAGTGGGCAGGGGCATTGGCGCCCTTTCTCTCTCCCTAGCTCCTGCGCGTTTTTCTTATCACTTTTTGCTGTACGACTCCCCTGGAGCCTGAAACAGGCTAATCTCAGCGATGCTAACGAGAAATCTTCACGTGCATCGCTCGTTTTGGTACATTTTCTTGCCGTCACGTGCACTTCGCGAGGAAAACGTAAAGTGTGTTAATGGGACGTTTTATTGATCACATGACTACTGGTCTTTCTGGTCCACAAGAATTCAACATCAGGAGAATTCACCTAGGTTAATGACAATTTGAGGAAGTTGGATGAATCGCAATGAGGCTTGAAAGAACGCTAGTTCACTGCACAAGTGGCGGTTACTTTATTGCTACTGTCGTACTGGCATCAAATAAAGGGAGCTTTAACAACAGCGACGGCCAACTCTGCACGTTCATCACACTTTTTGGCACATTTCATAGTCGTAACTCTACGGCCACGGCGTGAAATTTGCTTTCGCAAGGTATGGAAGACACAGATAGACGACAACTATTTTTTCTCTTTCTGAACCTCCGTTTGAACCCTATGAATCCAACTCCAAATTCACCTACACTTGTCATTCTAAACGAAATGGCATGATCGCAACGTCTGAGAAAACGCAAATCCATTTCACCCTTAATTAGGACATTCTCGTTTTCGTCGCAATGGACGACGGGAACGGCAACAAACCAACGTCACTCCTACAGTTACGAAGGCTGCTCTAAAAAGAAAACGTTTCCCCTGTATAATTACAAAAATGATGCAACAGAACTCTACTTTTTGTCAAGTCCCATGGTTACTTTGAATTCCATACAATGTGCGTCCAGCACAGCACACAGTCAATAGCCGTTCAGACAACAGAGAGGAGTGAAACAGGTTACATAAAGAAAACATCCCAAACTCATCAAGTTACACATATAAATGTAATAACTAAGAACATTGGGCTTCTCTATAACTGGTTAAAAAGTGAATTGTGTAAATCAAAAGCTCTTAAAGCGAAGGAGGTGTACTTTCCATCGCCTTTGTTGACCAGTAACATCTGTACTTTGGTGTAGGAATCTTGCTTGTGAGCTGGCAACCGCACCTCCATCTTTCTTAATCCCACAACTGATATCACTTCACTTCAGTTCAGTTCAGTTCAGTTCAGTAGAAAAGCAAACTCGTTTGTTTCAAGTTGTTTGTTTCAAGTTGTTGAAACCGAAAATGCATTCATCAATGTAGGTCCTCAACCAGACCATAGATTGCATGAAATGTCTCTATGTGATTTTCAGTACGTTACACAATGTGTCATACTTCCATGAACTTGAGTTTAGCACTGGCAGCTACAAAGGGATCCTGCCACATTTTCCGCAGATCGCCCTGAAAAAGAAAAAAAACAGCTGGAAGTTCAGTCTTCTTGCTGGCCCGTCACCGTGCGCACTATTCGACAGTGCGACAACTTATTCATTTGTTGACAGAAGCAAAAACTTGGTCACTTCAATAAAACTCCTCGCGGTTAATCCTACAGAACTGTTATGGTCACCAAAACTACCTTTTAACGGTCTCCATATTGAGATTCTTAAATTAAATTCACCCTTTAAGTGAGATGGAAAACACGGGCTTCAAGGCAGATGGTAGTTGTCGACAAGCCATTTTCGCGTTTTGGAAACAGAAACGCGAAAATAAAACACACGGACTTAAATACCATACTGTAAAACGTTTTTAGCTCCTTCTCGTTTCATGAAGTGTACGTAGCTTTCTACCAACCAAGTCTTGCCTCCAGACGCTTTTAACTCTTTGTTCACTTTTCCCCCGGAATCACAAAAATTAATACTTGCAAAATATTGTTCCCAAATTTTCGAACACTAGTAAGAAGGTAGTCAGTGACAAAGTGTCTGCATAAACAGTACACTCCCAACAAAAATGGCCAACAAAACCCCAGCCTGGTATGGGCACAACCTCTTTGGCCTACTTGACAGGCGTCGAGAGGGGAGGGGAAAGGAGGGAAAAGGGAGAGGGGATTGGGGAGAAGGGGAAAGGGAAATGCTCTCTTTTCCCCTTCCCATTTCACGCTTTCCTCTATCTCCCCTCCCCTCTCTTTTTTTGCGCAGGCTAAACTTGTTGGGTGCGTTGAGCATCTTGCTAAATTTTGTTAGGATACCTTGGATGTTTTGGAGGTAATTATTTTCCCATTTAAGGAAAGGGCCAGTTGCACGCGATCTGGGAAGCAGTTCAACATAGACCTTACCTTGAGATAGGCCATGACCAGAATAGGTAATAGTGTAAACGGTACAAGGTACAGTAATGCTGGCTGGGCTGCTTTATACACTTCAGATGCTACTGTAGCTGTAACTAAACCTGGGGAAAACAAGACAATAGCAAGGTCCAAACTAGTTTACTTCATTACATTCAGTGCGAAAATACTTCTATCCCAAGAAACATTCTCACTTATTTGAAGGACGGACACCTATGACGACTTGCACTTCCTCGACAAATCACATTATGTTATTTAACACCATTGATTTTTTTAATCACTTCCTCGACAAATCACATTGTCACATGGGTGAGCCCCTTTCTTAGCCTGTTCCAGCAGGCGTTCAAATAATGGAGTGTGGCACGAAGTCCTGCTTCACATCTCCCAACACTGTCTTCACAATCTGGGTGTAACTGGATTTCCGTTTCGCAAAATGATCGCAGGCACCAAAGCCAAAAGGCTACCTACAACTTCACGCAGCGGATTCTCCCGAAAGTAAACGCTCCATTGAGCCTCTGCCGAGGCCGAGTGAGGTTCATTCTTTGCTCGTTCCTACCCTCCAGTCCCAGGCCGTAAAATGTTGCCCTCTCGGCTGACTGATGACTGACTCTCAGAACTGATAACAGATGATGGCCATTATAGCTAGACTACTATTCTTATCTATATTTTTCTCTTTCTTCTATTCTTGGCCCATGATATAACGATACAGTTGTAAACAAAGCGGTTGGGGTTTTGCTGGAGAATGGGTGGGACAGGGGAATAGGAGCAGGATGAGAAAAAAAAGTCCCCTATATACATGTATACCCACATCAGTAGCATACTTTTAAGTGGTTTGGTCAATAGTAAAAAATCCAAAATCACGTTATGTTATTTAACACCATTAATTTCTTGAAGTTGACTTTTTGGAACCCAGTAAAGTTTGCCAAATCAAGCCACCAAAGAAGACTTGATCCACAACAGCTAGCTATTTTTGAAATGAAAATTAGGGTAATTGGAGATAATAAGAGTTTACACATTCTTAGCTAAGAGATGTAGTGACGTTATCAGTATCTTACCTACAATGTATCCAATAAGTGAGCAATGAAAATAAGTTATCTTTGATTGGTCCATATCAGCTGCTGCGGCTGCTTGCTTTTTATAATTATCATATCTCATAACAAAGCACAAGAGAAGTCCTGGCATAACCTTAAAAAGAAAATCAGAAATGAAGTTAAACGAACAATTCTTGACTGAAAAGCCAATAAAAGTCATAAGATATCAGCCTTCTGTCACATCAACTACTTCCCCAATACAGTGGAACCTAGATATAACAAACCTCTATTTAAAGAAGTCCTCAGTATAATGAACAGTATTCCTCAAAGTATCTGAGTACTCCCTAAGCATAAATTTAAGGCTTCTTTTAAATATTTACGAATTGGAGGATACTTATGTTGACACACCTATTTTAATAATTAATAAATTAAGCAAGATAATATGAAATGTAAAATAAGTTTGTAATTTTGTAATGTTGTATTGTAATAACTTCAGTTCATCTTCTTGTATTATTTATTTAGATCTATCTTCCTTTTCCTTTCCTTTTCTTAATTCCTTCCTAGTGAATTACGTTTCCTCTGCCACCTCGATTAGCCAAGCTATATGCAAGCAGAGGTTGTTGGTATGTACATGTACGTGTATGTATGAACTTAATTTGTAACTACTTTAGACATCAATAAACATATATGCTCGCTTGCTTGCTTGGCAAAGAATACTCTATGCACCAGTAATAGTAAAATCAGGACCCGGCTTCTGGTTAAATATATGGAAAAGAACCACGTTATAGCAACCATATTTTGCCAGTCCCTTGACCCTTTGTTATATCGAAGTTCCACTGTAACAACATTAGTCTTGACTGACATAAAATATTAGAATTTGAGGTTATTTATGGCTGTCTCCCTTTTGCCCTTTAAAATATAAATGACAGTAAGAGGTGGAAAGTGAAGATCTGATTAGTATCATGTTTTGGGATACTTATTTTTTAAAGTGATCTAAGTTTTAAGACTAAAAGGTTGACACTGAATATAACTTACTATATCTCCTAATCCTAACATAGAGAATCTGCCTCTATCACGCATACTGAAAAAAAAAATGCAACAACATTAATACTTCTTAATTTCTATGAATCTTTTGACGACTTGTATTCCCTGCTAGCAGAGGTCTCTCACGACAAAGCAAAAATGAGAGACCTCTGCCAGCAGAGAACGACTTGTACTGATTAGAAGGAAAAATCAGAGGCTAACCTTGGAAAAACCAACTTTCCTGGAAGGGAAATTTGTGGAGATATATTTCCTACAGAGTTCATTCTTAATTTACTTGCCATGATTTGGACCTGGAAAAAGAAGACAACCAAGAAAGATTTTCAGATACATGTAAAGCGATGACCTGTTCTTTAATTAAGAATCATTTTAGGGTCAATTTTGATAAAACTGCACCATTCATCTTTACAGAACATGCCATAGAACTTACAGAAACCTGACTGTAATTTCATGTGCTAAAATGATGACAGAGGTCTTATTTTGCTTGTCTACAGTAAACTGCTGCTTAAAAGCACCCCACATTTAATACCCCCCCCCCCACCTTTTGGCCCATCTACCTGAAACACACACATAAAAAAACATCTGATTATAAGTCCCCACTGAATATATACATCCCCCTCTGGCTTGTATTGAAATGAATTTTATTTATTATGTTATTTTGAAGCTTAATTAAAAGCCAGTAAATGTAACATATTTTGACAACAACTGCTAAAGCTTGTTTCCAACTGCTTTCTTTTATTGTGCTTATGAGCCACCTCGGATTATTATAAGCACCTCTGTTTGTAAGCCCTCTTAACCCTTTAAGCCCTAGTATGTAGAGAGAAATTCTCCAAACTGGTCTCCATACATTTCCCTAAAGAATTAGTTGAAGAATTTGATGAAAGATCGAAGCATTTCCCTTTGGAGATCATTTTATAAATTCTCATAACCCTTTCTATTGATGATATATGGATATTGTTTAAAGAAAACTGATGTTGATCACTCTTGGGTCTTAAGGGTTAATACCCCTTAGGAAGATGTACATGTATAAGCCCAGCACTCATAAGCGGCAGTTTAAGGTATTCATGCAACCAAGCAATTTAAGACCTAACTGTGTCCTTTGCAAGCTATAATGCCAGCCACTTAACCTTTCTGACAACAAAACAAGTTGATGAGATGAGCTTTGATTTTGTACTGCTCAGTTATAGTAGTGTTCCCTTTAATTGAGTACTTACAGGGTTATCAGCCTGCTGTGTTGCAACGTGCACCATAACATTGGCTTTGAATATATAACTTGAAAAAAAGACCTGGAATGTGACCAAATACACAATCATATACAATGTTATAATCAAAAGAACTATGGAATATCTTAGTGTTCTCATTATTTAGGCCCAGGTTTTTCAAAATCTGGTGAAATTTAATCCAGGGTTAAGCCAAACTTTCAACAAAATTTTCTCAGGAATATGATACTAGCCTACACTGCAGCAGCAGATCCAGACCTTCAGATAAGGATTGGGGGGGGTCATTCAAACCCTGAGATAAGGGGGGGCGGTGTCAAACAAAATTTTTTTTCTCAGTTTCGTCTAAAAATAAGGGGGGGTGGGGGTCTGGGCCCCTTCCATTATTAACAACATATTGAAACTGCCCCAAAATTGCCTTCCTCCAATGGCCCTAGCCACTACCTCAAAGGTTGCTTTTCCTTAACTCTCCCTAATCTACTTTCCTCATATAATCAAATATGGCAGCTTAACAGTGTCATGAACATAAGCATGGAGCTTAATCGCTCACGTCAAAGATACACTTGCATTGAAGCTAGGCTAATAAAATACTTTTGAGCTTCTACTCAGAGACCCACTAAGATTTTGTTTACCCACAATGGCATCCAAAACAGACTGTAAAAAGTATATCTAATTGTCAGTTTAAACTTAATCTCAGGGTTACGTTACAAGTTAAACCAACCTAAAAGAAACTAAGGCTAAGCAGAAAACTATAGCAGCTATATCAGGATATCTTGAAAGGATATCTCAAAAACTTACCCAAAATACATCATAAACTAACAGGCCTATTAATAGAAGAGTTGAAACTTTGAGGCTTGGCAAGCGAATGTAGGCAATCATTGAAACACACAATCCCATGGCTAATGCTGAAAGGGACATCAAAGTATCACAAGCGATAAATTTTACTAATTTAAATTATATTTGTTTAATTATTATTACTTTAATTACTGTTGGGACTTATAACGTGCTAAGAGAAGTTGGGGAGTTTTGGCACGTTTATTAGAAGGTAACTCACAATTGGAAGCAAAAAATTTTCAAGACGAAACAGTCATATGAAAGCTGGACCACAGTAAAATGAGAAGTCAAGGGAGTCTCAGGGGTGAGGAAAGGAAACTGCAGGGATTCCCAACTCCTTCCCCCATTCCCTCCCTTCTCCTTTTCTCATTTGACCTCAAATCAGATTTTACATGAAGCTCTGTATCTTAGAGATGACAGCCTCTACAGATCTAAAATCTGGATCAGACTCTATCTCTTGCACTACTTCCCTCCCCCAAATGTCAACAAACCCCCGCCCCACCCACAAATCGACTCAGCCCCCAAATTATGACAGTCATGGGAATGGCCTAGGACATTATGAAGTCTTACATAAAGTACATACTATCAAAATTCGCATTTACCATTGTAATGAGAAGATAGTCTTTGTCAGTGACTAAATAATGTGCGAAAAATGCAGAAACCCTACTATTTTGGAAAAAATGGGCTAATTTAAAACGAAAGCACAGAAATACTCAAAAGTCGTTTTTATCCGGAACGGGAGATTTGGTGACCTGTACTGGAGAGCAGTCCGAGATCGGTAATGTGTCTGGGAGAGTTGGCAATATATGGTATCTCCTTCTGACAAACTAAAGTGGCCTCGCACAATAGAACTGTGAGAGCTGCTTACCCAAAGGACATTTGGGATGCAAGTTTTTTTTTCTAGCCTTGAATACGTACTTCTTGAAAAAATAATTCAAACTACCTGCTACACAGGCTACATGCAGTGGTCTTTGGCTCTTGCCCCTAACTGACAAAAATGTTGTTTAAGAATGACACTCACTGGGCCCGGGATTTTATAGCAGGTTTTCTCTTAATGCACAGCTTTGGGCCTGTGCATGAAACATACATTATTTCATTTATTTAGTGGAAATAACTTACCATCCATTAGAACCCAATGTCCTGTTACAATCCAGACCAAAACTAATGCAGAAGAACAAACAAGTGACATAGCCTCTGCTGGGGTGACACGGCCACAAAAGCCAACATAATATCTGAAATCAGTGGTAAAAGTTATTGACGCAAAAAACCTGGTCATGAACAAGCAGCCTTAATATAAAAATGACACAGGAAATAACCTGACCACTTACTTTTGATTGCCACTTCCAAAGCAGGGTCTTGTTAGAAATTGACAGACAGGCATAAGAACAAAAGAGAAAGCTATCATCGCCAAAGCTGAAAAAAAAGAACAATGATATATTCATTAACAATTAATTTACAATATAGCAGTTATTAGTAGTTAAATGTGAAAGTGTATAAAGAAGGACATGCAAAGAAAGCAGAGCATAGTACAGTGTACACGGACATGTAAACATCGATCCCAAGAATAAATTATCATTAATATATGAAAGGTACCGGTACATGTATGTTAAAATGAAAAAGAGCACACTGTAGCGAAAAAACCTATTACCGGTAATTGAATAAAATAGAAAAACAACAACAAATACAATAACAACAATATTCAAGATTTTTTCTTGTTAATTATAAATTTTTGTTTTTAAAATAAGAACAATCAGGGTCAGAGCACTGCTTTGCATTATCCAATGTAACAATTTCTGAGCCCAAGTTTGATTCTACTTTATTGGAAGAACTACGCAGCCACCACTCTTCATAATTGTCTTGAATAAAAAATTCCCTACATTTGTACTTGAAAAAATACTTGACAAAATTTCCTACCTCAAAAAATCCTGGAATCGAAAGTTTCAAACCCCAAAAAACCTTTAATCATTCCCATCACTTGAAATCCGGAGTACCCTCCTAGGTATACAGGTAGTTTTCTACCAAAACTGATCAGAGCTTATCATTTTTGGAGAAGATTGTTATCAAGATGTTCTATTAATTTTATTTCACTTACCGGCAGTACAGAGTGCAAAGAAAAATTGGAGGGTATCAAAAAAGAAAAACATCACAAGAAGAGAGAAAGAAGCTCCAACTGGCAAAAACACAGCTTGAGCAGTGTTGATCGTTTGGAACCCTGGAAATGGAAATAACAACATACCAGCTTTACTTATAATTATTCATTGGCTAATTAAAAAAAATACAAAGTATGGTATAATGATACAGTGATAGATGGCTACTTAATGAAATACATTTGTATGTAAAAAATTCTTCAACTGAAAATATCTTCAAAGGGAAATGATAACGCTCAAGAGGCTAGAATTTAATGTGAAAGGAAGGTGTCAACAGTGCCTGACATTTTAAATTTTTTTGCAGATATCAAATAAGAAACAAAGTAAAACAAAACTATAGGCAAACTAAGGATAAAACTAGAAACACAACCTAAAGATTGTACATGCAAGATACCTAATACAAACCAAATGATGTTTTGTCAACAACTGTGGTTAACACAGAATAATATTATTTTGTTTGGCAGTATTTACTAACAAATTTAAAAAGCAATAAAAGAGGTATCAATTTGATCAAAATCATGTAAACATTCTAACCTAAATACAGGGAAATACTTAAAACTAATAGTACTACTAGATAAAAGTACTGTTTGTAAGGTTTTTTTTTCTAAAAATGACCATTCAGTCTGCATGATCACAGTGCTACTATCCCTAAAAATAAAGATGATTTCACCCTCACCATCCATAAGTCTTGCAAAAGGAGAGGAACTTGGGTTTGGCTGTTCGGCTTCCCCATCTTCCGGTAAGTTAAATGCCGCATCCAATCCCAAGGCCCTATAGACAATAAATATGGATACATGCATGTAACCAGACCACTTCTTACTCAAATGGAATGAAATTTGCAACAATTTTGAGAAAGTTTTCATTATAATGGTAAAAAAAAACAGGATATGTTACTTATTACTGTTCATGTACATGTATCATAAAATTATGGGAAAGTTTTCATTAAAGCATAATGGTAAAAAAACAGGATATCCTGTTATTTTTGAAGACGACTTTTACTGTTCATGTTCCGACAAAGTATCATAAAATTATGGTTATGGAAAGAGTCTGTCTAGAGGCAGATTAAAGCATTATTTGAACCTGGAGTTTAAATGCTTTTGTTCAATTAACAGTGTCTCTTTAATTTGCTAAGTTTGCACAATGTACAAAGTACTTTAATTAAATTACACTGCAATTTTAAGCAACTTTAAGGCTGGGAGTAAGGGCATGACAGGCTAACTATCATAAAAGTTGATGACTGTGTTCATAATTTCTGAACTTGGTTTTGAAATAGTTCAACCTTGGACCCGTCTACTCCCTCTGGAAAGCCAGGAAGTTCTATATTTTGAACGATCAATTATGTAGTAAATTGAAAATAATATACATGTTATGTAATAATTATGCAAGAATTCAGTTAAATCAACAGCAACATTTGACCCCTAGATTCAAAAGCAAGTAAGACAGCTAGTGACACAAAGAATCATTGTGATTAGGTAACATCTTGAAGAAAACAACAATCAAGATAAGACAAACTCTTGATGTTACCCCTCAATAACAACTGAGGATTTGCAGATCCGTCCCTAATCCTGATATTCGTCTCTGATCATATATTTAGCACAACATTATCCTGAGAAAAGTACCATTTACCATTCCAGCATCATTTAGCCTCAAAGAAGAGCTTGTGTTACAAGCTTTATATAAATAATGTTTGTCATTTTCTCATTCAGTCGTTGGGGAAATTTTGATCAGCATTTTATCGTCCAGAAGAGAGTGACAAAATTTCCACTTTTTGAATTAAAAATTGATGTAGATGATAAGATTTCAAACTAACAAAATCCCTTCATATGTACATGTATTTCAGATCAGAAAATAAAGTAGCAAGAAAGTAGTTTAAAACCACATTTTTGTAATAATAACCATGATTTTTTTTATTATGATTGAAAGGGCTGCCACTTCAAACAATGAAATAAATGGCATTCAAATTAGGATGGATTAATAAATTATAATGCATTTCTTGTCACTGTGACTCTGAAAAATAAATAATTCAATGTGCCTCTTATAGAGCCGGTCAAAGATTCTTGTGAAATTACCAGAGGACCAGAGAGTAGCAGTATGGTACAGCTCTAGAGCTTCAAAGAGTTCTAAGGCAGGACATTGGGGGTTGGTTAAATAACACTAAAAGTAACATGTGTAACACTAGCCCTGATTTCCATGAGACAGATTTATAATAGAAGAAGGCTTTTAATGGCACAGAGGGACACAAATACCATAATTAAAAAAAAATACATCTTTTATGTAAATAACTTCAAATTACTGCTTGCATAACAAGAGCACTGAAGATTTTACACACAGAAGTAAGTGTCCATATAAAATTATTTTTCAAAATAATTCCTGGTGAAAATAATTTTTCAGTAGTACAGGTTTGGCAGGATTTTTGTGTCTGGGCATACATTAATGTATCTGAATGTATTCATGTAAAGGTCACGTTGCTTTGAATTAAAACAAAAAAGCTATCAAAAAGACGTCTACAAATAACATGTGCTTTGAGCTACCAAGAAAAAAAAGTGGAAAACCATTTTTATTTATGGCTGAAATAACATAGATACATGCAATTCTCTTAAAAGATAAACTAGGATAAAGTTACAGCTGTACTACATGGAACGTGTTACATGTACATTTTGACAAAAACTGAAATTTCGTTTTTGAAGTATCAAAATTAACATGATTTCCTGATATTTTCCACTTATCAAATAACTTGTAACTCTAAGAAATTGGGAAAAGCTAAAAGGCGGATTGCATACTGATTTAAATTCGAACAACTGCGTCCGTCTTTTGAGGTCACGCACATTCGAAAGCGCTGACAATGGATGAACGTCACTTGACCAGAACCTCACAAAAATAAAAACATAATCTCACCTGAAACTGCCATAGATAATCAGCAAAATCGATATAACAATGGTCAAGATTCTTGAGCTGTCTGCAAAGGTGTAGATCCTAAAAAAGAATCAAAATCAAGACACACGTGTAAGCGGCGCTGGACCACTTATTGTTGTATTGTTTCAGTGGAGCTCAGGAGAAATTTTACAACAGTATCGACAACACATATGTGAAGTCAACTTTGAAAATCTTCACCTACCACTGAGTTTCTGCTTCCACTTGTATTTGTTCCATGTGAGCTTATAAATAAATGTTCATCATTCGTAGAGACAAGCTCCTGTATAGTCTTCAAGCGTCTTCAGAAACTAAAATCAAGAAATTGACATCTTCAAAAATGGTATTAAACAACGGCCGGATATGCGTTTTAGGGCCTTCGGCATTGAATAAATGATGGTTTTACTGAAGAAACTGAATTCTTACCCCTCCTTAAGAGTCACTTGCTGGATTTAAGCTTCAAAAAATGCAGTTTAGGTTTTAGATTACTGCATTTGAAGGCCTTTGGCAGGCGACAAAAAAGTAAAGGGTTTGTATTAAAATTCAGCGAAGATGTTGTTATTTACTGTGCGTCATGCAAAGAAGTCTGGGATATTAGTTCCAGTCGTTCGCGGATTTGGCGGATGAAACACAGGTCAACCATCAGAGGGTCTCCGAGGCATCGTATTTCGTAACGCTTGTACTAGGCTTGATTCAAGTGATCGGTAGAAATGCTTCATATGACAAAGAATTTTGCACGTTTTGATCACAAATGTTGATATAGTGTAAGAAAAATGAATAAAGATAACTTACCACAAAAACGCAGAAAACGACACTAAAAACATACGATAAGTTATCTTTATTCATTTTTCTTACATTATATCAACAATTGGAATCAAAAGGTGCAAAATTCTGTGTTTTATGAAGCATTTGTACCGATCACATGAATAAAGTCGAGTGCAGGCGTTACGAAGTACAGTCAATGTATGGTGTCACATCATGTCACGCGTACGTGACATCACGATGCCTCCGCAGTTCAGATGCAGGATGGTTGGCCTGTGGATTAGCAAAGGAAAAACGGATCACGTGATTACCCCACCAAGGAAACGCCTTCTTTGCGTTCCTTAACCTTCTTGCGTGACTTTACGCCCTGCTATCAGCTTTGCGCATAAAGATATTTAAAATTCTCTGGTGTTCAAACAAGCGTTTTATCCTGTCAATGAAAAGCGTTTCTTTGAAATTTTTCGACCGGGAAACCAGCTGAAGCCCGTTTCTTGAATGTCCTGGTAACTTTTCAGGCCGCAAAAACTAAATAATAAAAGCGTACGTCCTGGCTAGCAAATCAGCTCATTATAGACCATTTTTTAAATTAACAAGTAGTTTATCACATTTTCAGCAAAACTGTTTTTCTTCCGTCCCAACTGACTGCCCCTGGGTCTCCCCACCCTCCACCGCAAAGTCTGCACAGCAATGGATCATGATTCAGCCAATCAAATAATTAGTGCCAGTTTTCACTCTAAACAACTGGGACCACCATTTTGATAACGCGCGGGAAGCGAAAAGTGTGGCAGTTCTATAACTTCGATTATTCCCAGAACTTTAATGGAGATTTGAAGAAAATGGCCACAGACGTTTTGGAATACAGTGATATTCATCTTCTTGTGAGAGGAGCTTTGGTGCGTAGCTTTGTTTGCCATTTTACATGGGGGCTTATCATCGCACGTGTATCGATCATGATCGTGATCGTGGAAGAACACAGTTTCATGAGACTGTTCATGAAACTGTGTTCTTATAATAATATTATAGCAATTCTTGCATAATTTAGCTTAAAAATAGAAATATCCTAGCGTTATGTCGAGGTCACTCGTCAGAACATATGTTGTAAGTTCTTCAAGTTTCCAAGTCATCCATCTCAAAGGAAACCAATCTTCCTTCAGAAAAATAACAATTATTGAATGAGGCAGAGTAGGATTTGGAGAATTATGCAGATCGAGGGGGATCCTCGACCTTCAAACTCGGTGGATAACATCGTCCTCTATCTAAAAATTCTTCACATCCTACTGTTTTGTATTTCTTCCGTTCAGTTTTAGTTAGAAATTCAGCCATTTCGTCTTTGGATAGCCGTGAATGCCATTTTCTTTCTAAGTTCACTTGGGAGTAACAGCTAGTTTACCACCTGGAATCGAGATATGTAATAATTTTATTTATACCATCAAATCAAAGGTACCGTAAAATTCTGAAAATGAGCCCCTCCTTGTATAAGCCCCTGCAAATATAAGCCCCCCAAACTCGTAATGCAAAAAAACCCTCCGTTAAATAGCCCCTCCAAATACAAGCCCCCCGGGGGCTTGTACTTGGAAATTGCCCTCAAATACAAAGTAAAACAAAGCAAAAACAGTAAATTTCCTTCCAACTATAAGGCTAGCCCAATCAATTTTGAAACGCAAATTTCCCTCCATCTGAATATAAGCCCCTCCAAAAATAAGCCCCTCAAAAAGGGCCTTTGAAAAATATAAGCCCCGGGACTTATTTTTGGAATTTTATGGTATATTTCTAGCATCTTCTTAATATGGTACGCGCAAGTTGATTATGTAGATTTAGGCAGGGGATTGGAGCCAATCAGAAATGGTGAAATATTTGAATTAACAATAAATAAACTTAAAATAAAATCCTGCACGGATGGCGAAGATGGCTGGAATCTGACCCTCAAATTTTTGCCGGGCCCTTTCTAAAAATGATTTCAAAAGGGTTCATTTATTGTCTGCACCCTTGCGGATTTGGTCTGAACGGTCAAAATTTTGTTGGCTCCTTTGAAGATAACATCTGAACACCTTGTCAGAAAACCTGCCATCCTTGGTGGGGGGGTGGGGGAGGTTGTGGATAAAACGTGGAATGTCATGGGGTACTCCCTTATATAAGCCATGTAGGTATGTGCTGCCCCAAAGGATATGGTTTTGAAGCTGTTTTGGTCTAAAAATAGGTATAGACTTTTTTGAATCTAGAAATTATTGTTGGATCCTGTAGTATCTGTGTCCAGTATAGTAAAATATTTTATCCTTATTTTCCTCAACATAATCATCATCATAACAAGTGAAGTACTCCTTTGATTTGCAGAATGATGGACGTTTAAAATTGCATAAAGGTGGAGTTATTTTTAAAGCAAACAAAACAGGAAAAGTAGATCAAGCTACAGTTGCAGACATTGAGTCGACTCATTGGATGAGAGTGGCACGGGGATTTGAACTAACAGTTGCTTTGAAAAGTGGACTGCAGTTAAAGCTTGAAGGCTTCAAAGAGTCTGTAAGATATTGTTTCTTGTCTTAAACCATTTTATTTTTATTAGTGCTTCATATAGCGCTGTGCACAGATGACGTCACAAAAACGTGACCCCTCTCATCAGACAAACATGGGCCATTTCTGCAAAAGGTCGCAAGAGGGCTGTATGAAAATGCACAGTTTGCGATCAGTTCTGTTCACCCCTTTAACGTTTGTAGGAGTGTTGCAGTTTCGAAATTCGAGAAAGATCCGGGAGAGTATAATTTAGAACAAATCAAAACATAGCTGTACAAAGGATTTAAGCAGAGCAGAAAATGAGAGGACTTTCAAACACTGTTTCTTGATACGCTATTGAAGCCGGTAAATGTTTTCAAAGAACAAGATACCTTTCAGTCTGAAATTCAGATCTGATTTTCAAGAATTCCCATCAAATTCTTTTAAAGAAAATTTGTTATTTGCTTAGAAATTTCTATTTCTGTGCGCCAAAGTAGAAAGAGTCGCAGTCATACCAGATATTTGATAAGTTCAGATTTTTGTGAAAATCAGAGACCATATTAGTATTTCAGACTGCTGGGCTAGTATTCTGAAAACCATTCCCACTATCTGAGATTTGAATATACTCAAGCTCGAAGAATTCGTCCACTTCAAGGCCATTGAACCTTTTTAAGAATTGCTTGGCATTTGTGAATAAACATTTAATGCTTCAGGGAGGTCTCAATGATAATTTTTCTGGATATCCTTTGATAACTTACTCAGTGAGTCACGCTGGTGAAGTGTTAAAAACATAGAGATTTCACTAAGGTCGATGATTGAGTCTACTTCAAACCCACGGCAATGTTTGATATTGCTTGAGATTTCTAAAGTAGCATGGTTTTAGAAGGGTTAAATCAGAGAATTAGTGAAAATGGATTAAATATTTCAGACTACTTCTTTAAATACATTTCCCGCCTGCCTGGTCACTCCATAAACACAGAGTACTTCGCTTTCTTTCCGGATTTCTCACATTCATGTAGCAACTCAGACCACTTTTTCAGGGATCCTTGAGTTCCTGTTTAACATTTCCCGACAAACATGCGAAAAAACATTGTTTTGACTCAACACTCAGGAAACCCATAAACTATTTTTAGAATCGGTGTGCTGCACTATTGTTAATGTTTATTTTAGGTACCAGTAGCTCATTTCTGTGACATTAAAAATTGCTCCCTGAATTAAGAGGTTCCATTAAGGGACAGGCATCCAGTAAATTGATTGGCTGCAAGACAAATTTGTGCGGATGTGTTTAAAATCTCAAATAAAAAAAATACTACCTTTCATTAAGTATGCCTGGGTGTCATATACAGATGCCCTTCTGCTCTAACCTGTAATGAAATGTCTGTGAATAAGATTGTAACCTTGCCCCTGCCTCTAAACACCATAACTATCTTGCCCTTGAATCAAATACTGCACCTCTCAATACAGTCCAACCCGGCTATTTCGAACTCGGTTAATTCGAAGTCCCCGCTATTTCGAAGGAAGATCGAATTCCCTTGAATTTACCCTTATGTTTTCAGTCATTTACTATCAGCTATTTCGAATTCCCCTCTATTTCGAACTCATCGTTCTTTCCCTACACCTTAAATCAATGCCGTTATTTCGAACTTGTCAAAAACAGAGCAGGTAAATAAGAGCACAGCTGGAAACGTATTGCATTTTATTTGAGCTCGTGTTGCGTAATTAATGACTTAACAATGCTTACTCACGTGCAGTGTCCCGCTAAGAAATTCCAGCTGTGTTATTCAATTACAAAACAAGACGCACTGTTAGTGAACTGTTCTTCCGGCTGAAATACTCATTTATGAACTCTGCTGTCTCTATTCTGATCATTCGACATTGATTTTTATGTAATAAGTGTCTTTCTTCATACTGTACTGTATTTTTTATGATTCATTGTTACTAATTTTACGCTTCCCCGGTTATTTCGAAACCCCGCTATTTCAAACTTTTTACCATTTCCCTTGGGACTTCGAAATAGCGGGGTTTGACTGTATCATTGATATTATGACACACCCCTTATCAGTACAGGAAATGTTGAATTGAGCAGGTCTCTGAGTGGCCATTGCAATATGTCAGAATGTCAAGTATGACTTGATAATTTTTATTTGGAAATTGTGGTGTTCTTATTGGTATTTCATTAAAAGGGAAACCAGCCCTATTAAAGTTTCTGTCCTTGAATTTTCTTTATTTAGGACTATGACCAACTATCGGCATTTGTGAGGAAGTATTTCAATATGGAAATGGAGGAAATTGAACTGTCCGTGAAGGGATGGAACTGGGGAGTGGCAAAATTCAAAGGTAAGTTGAATGGGTGGGTAAATAACTTTTGATAATCTCCTAATTTCTTCTCAATTGCCAGTACCTTGCATTTTCTGCGAAACAAAAGGAAAATTTGACTTTACATCAAGGGTCTTTATGGCCTCTGCCCTTTCCAGACACCTTTTCCAGGTTGAGGAAAGTGTAAAATAAACTGGTACTGATACTTTTTGGGCAAAGCTCATTCCTCATCTATGAACAAATTTATGGTAAACAGCTTAGTGTGTACTATGAGTTATAGTTGGAAGGAACTACAACTATAAGTTACGAAAGCTTATAAAATGTGCTCGCAGACATAATTAAATTATGTATATTAAAGGTGAAAGGTGAAGCTCTGAAATTATTAATTTTGTTTGCGTCAGTAGGCAATAAAAGTTCAAAAATTGTGAAAAATTGTGATTTATAAATGAATGGCTAAAATGGCTTAACCTGTAGGGTATAGTTTTTAAACTGTTCTTTATGTAAATGACTACATCTCAGATCTCAAACCGGTCTTGGATGTTATTTCAGGGTCTTCTCTTTCTTTCGAAGTTGACGAAAAGCCCGCATTTGTTGTTCCTTTAAAAGATGTTTCCCAGGCAACGACTGGTGAGTCTTTTCTTTATGGTTGCATTCACGATGAGCATGTTCAGTGTTATTTTGCGATATAAATTGACCCAGGCTTACTAACACTGCAGCATATTTGTCCTCCAGAAAGAAAAATATTGAGAACTGTGAACACTTTGGTTTGTTCCATTAGGTAAAAATGAAGTTACCCTGGAGTTCCACCAACATGATGATGCTCAAATTTGTTTAATGGAGATGAGATTTTACATTCCAGCCACATCTGATGGCACTTCAGAAGATCCAGTTAAAGTAATGTAGCATTACATCTATTGTTACTAACATGTGAACTGAATGATTTTATCATTGGTTTAAACTTTATTTTGCCTCATTTTTAGCTTTTATGATAATAATATTATGATGATGAATGCAAAACAAATAATTGAACCCCAACATGAAAAAAATTATTACTGGGCTGCCTGTGGAAGGTCTAGTTATAATTTCAGTTTTCAGTTGTCTACATAGAAAAACGAACACCCAGGGAAGAGACGACTCAAGGTCTGGGCACATTTGTTTCATACGATTTCCCTTTGCACAAATATTTTTTTGTACCTCGCCCAGTTTGTTATGCTTCTTCTCAATTCTGTTTGCCCATTCAGCAAGCCCAATATATTGATGTCAGCTTAATTACCAAGTTTCAATAAACCTTTGAAAGTTCACAGTTTGCATAAAGTGTCTTACCATACATATCTTTTTATGGAGATGTAAACTAAAGCCACTGCAAAATGAGAACTTAAAAAAGCCTATAATCAATTTATCTCAAAACATAATACACATGACCAGTATTTTCCTGAATGTGTTTTGAATACAAGCCAACACTGTAAATGTTAGGGGCAAAAACAGGATTAATATAGTGCTCAGTTATTGTGCAGTGAGATGAATAGCTTGAACCAAAAACAATTTCAGAGATCGTGTACATGTGATCCAAAGTAAACAGCAAGTTCATGAGCACATAGTGCGTTTACAGTGTGTTTTGTTCAGTCTTTTTAATACCCAAGGACTATGGATAATATTTTGATATTGTTTAGCTGGCACAAAAATTCAGAGGAGTTATAAAGCTTATTAATTTTCTGCCATGAAAAAAAGTTCGTCACGGGTGAGACAAACGATGAATTTGAGCGAATTTTCAAATCATATTAGCATTACGGTAAAAAAATATGTCATCGATCGTTTCATCTATTTACACTGTTTTTAAAAGTGTGTGCCAATGAAATCAACATGCAAGCGAGAAATCTTTAAACTCCTTTATGTCACAAAATAAGGATTAAATACCTTCACGTTGATGAAAAATAACAAGGGAAGAATCATAAAACTGAATATTTTTATCTTGTGGATTAAAAATTATGTAGACTGTAGACTGCAAATTAGATTAGTCTATGTTAAGTCGCAGTCCAGTGAATGAGCTCTGTGGATCAGGATCAGTGGGCAGTTGACTGTCTGTTTTAGTAATCTTCTCGTTTTCATACAAAATACATTATTCCTTTCTAGTGTAAGCAGCCCAGTGGATTCGCCTTTTGGCGAGTCTAGTTCTTTTATACTTTATATTAATTAGTTGGTACAGGATTTGTGGTACTCCTGATTATTTTTATGGATACTGACAATGTTTGACATTTGTCTCTGAGTAAGTTTTTCCCTTTTCATACAGAATTTTCATGAACGGGTTCTTGAGAAAGCAGACATCATTCAAGCAACAGGAGATGCCATTGTTACGCTACCTGATGTGGCCTGCCTTACACCAAGGTACTGTTGTTCAGTTATCTTGACAACACTGCAGACCTCCATACTTGATAACATAGACCATAAAACATAGTGATAGTGATGATGATGATAATAATAATAATAATAAGAATAATAATAATAATAGACATTCCCATAAATCAATGGACAGCTATATGAACAATGGTTTTTAGCTTGTAGGGTATTTTTATTTATTTTTTCTTTATTTTTTGTGACACTTTTATCAAATCATTTTTACCCATGGTTTTTTTTTTTTGGCGCAAATTATAATATTGTGTAATTGTTGCTACATATTTTAGTTGATGCTGTGGCTGGATACAGTTTGTCGCCCAGCCAAAGCTTTTAATTTTTTCTCTAGGTATCCAGACCTTGGTACTGCCATAATAATAATAATAATAATAATCGTATAGCTAATATCCTGCAGAAGGTGTTTTATGTCTGAGGGAACAATTTATGACAAGAGTTCCAGTACCAATGTTTACTGTGAGAAATAGAGGATAATAATAATAGTAATAGTAATAATACAATTTTAATTGTCCTCTCCCTGTATGGAGCTTTTCAGGGTTAATGAAACAAATAATTTAAATGGAATATAACATGGTTAAAAATCCCAACTGGTAGGAGGGAACCAGTCAACTATTTTAAAAGTGTGGCCCACGATTTGAGCTTGAGACTACCAGAACCAAATCCAGCTAGTAGTCAGGGGGGACTTGAACTTGGGGCCTCAGAATTACAGTGGAACCTCCTCTTTGAGACACTTCTATTCAAGAGACACTTTCATTCAGGGGACAGAAAATTTGGTCCTGGAAAAACGTCCTCATAATCTTGTTACCTCTATTGAAGGGACACTTCTATACAAGGGAAAGGGACACATTTTCTGGGTCCCAAAACCTGGGTTTGACCTCCATTCAGGGGACACCTTAGCACTCAAAACGTAACTGACCACTACTGCACTGGTGTGAATTCAACTTATAATGTCGCAGAGATGGGTTAACGATGATTTTGAATTTTTTGTATTGTCTTTGTTGGTTAACTATTATCAAACCCCAGCCTGCCCTAACCTCTATTCAGAGGACACCTCTTTTCAAGGGACACTTGCCTTGGTCCTAAGGGTGTCCTCTGAATAGAGGTTTCACTGTACAAGTCCAGCGCTCTATCCACTTGGCCACTGTACCTCTGTATAGAACTGACCTCACCTTCTCTTGATTCCTCACATAATCACATAGTCAGCTTTATCCCAAGGACACATATCCCAGAGAATCTTCAGTACCTCCATGAAGCTTCTGACCAGATTTTGGATCTAGTTCATCCAGGGTTTTATTTACTTGCTATTTTTTATTTGCATACAGCTTTTTATTTCACATTATGAATGAACCCACCATCTCCCTCTTTTTTTGTCACCCTCAAAGTTTGTTTGTCATGTTTAGGTTCCCTTAGTTATGTAAAGCCAAGTGCAATAACCATGAGCATTGTTAAGTACTTTAAACATTAACTGAAATGCATGGAGATTGAACAAAGAATAATTTCTCATTCAGATGTCTAATATCATGTCCTTTTTCCTAGGGGTCGATATTCAATGAAAGTGTTTCCATCCTTTCTTCAACTTCATGGCAAGACTTATGACTACAAGATCCCTTACACATCAGTGTTGCGGCTTTTTCTCCTCCCACACAAAGACCAAAGATTTATGTTTTTTGTGGTAAGGAAGTGTATTCTAATAAATTTTCTTAATAAAACAAGGTCAAATTGTTCACTGGGGCTGTTAGGAGTGAACAGTGATAAGTCTAATTTAAATTCTGTTTTTAAGTTTTTTGTAGTAATAACTGTTCACGTCTTTACTTGTGAAATAATATATAATGCAACATGTGTCAATGACACAGGAAGGTCTGAACTACCAGCTTTTGAGTCTAAGATAGAATACATTGCTGCACCACTTACATGTATTACCTGTTGAAGCTGTTGATGCAGAGGAGGTTATAAGTGACGGTAAAGTGATTCTTAATTATCACAGGTTAGTATGGATCCTCCAATCAAACAAGGCCAGACAAGATATCCATTCTTGATTATACAGTTTGGAAAGGATGAAGAATTTGATGTAAAGCTTAACTTGTCAGAGTAAGTAATATTTGGGTTTAGTATTTACCAAATCAGTGAATAGTAATTTTCGTCCATTTTGATTGGCTCCTGTAACTTGGAATATCCTTAGCTATTCACTGTTTTGCAACCGGAGCCAAGATAGCATCTCATTTCAAGACATTTTCTGAAGATGGAATTTGAGCGACAAATGAAGTAGTCGTACAAAGAAATACCAGAAAAGTGACGAACTTTGGCTTGTTGGTGTTTATTGGTAATTAGAAAATTATTTTCATGCTGAATTTGCAACAAAAGTCGTAACAATCACTTGACAAAATCCCTGAAATGTTTGTAAATTGTAAACAAAGTTCCCATTAAGTGACGTTTTTAATTTACCAAAAGTTATTCTCTTCATTTTTATCCACCTAATTTGGTAAAATTTAATACCAAAACAATTATCCCCCTCAGGGTCAGTGAACAGCATTAGATGAGTGTCAAGTGTTTGACATTTTCATTTCATCATGAATTCTTTCTTTGGTCCCATTTTACTTAGCGCGAAAAAATTTTTGAAGAGCAGGATTGATCACATTTCCGGTTCTGTAATTTGAATTGTGGCATAGGTTGATTGGTTGGAGGCTCCTTCATGGGTGAGACATTTCTTACTATTAATGTGACTGTGTGATCAATACAGTTAAGCCTTAATGTGCTGCTTGTGATGGACTGTGTGACTGCATGATGTGGTTCGCAAGTCCAACCCACAAATATCACCCTTGCTCGCCAACCAGTCCTCAGTAACTCAGAGGTTAGAGCATCCGATCTAGAACACGGAGGGTTGTGGGTTCAAATCCCATCTGGGGCTCAGAATTTTTCTGTGTCCTCTTACGGTTGATTCTTTACATCTCCCTTTACTTCCTTTATAATATTAATATAGGTGGCATAGGTAATTTGAATTCCCTCAAAAAACTTCACTTGCCCATTGGGTGAGTTAAAAAGAAAATTTGCAAAATTTAGCCTGATTGCAAAATCCACACTGCTACTCCCAGCAATCTAATGGCTTACCCCTTGCGGATTTTATTTAGGGAGGAGTTACTAGAAAAATATGAAGGCAAGATAACTCAAGAAATGACTGGTCCAATTTATGAGATTGTGAGCCGGCTCATGAAAGCTGTTATTGGAAGAAGAATTACAGTGCCTGGAACATTTAAAAGGTATCAAACAACATTAATTTGATGCTTTATAACCGTAGTTTGCAGTTAACAGTTTCACGTTACCCACCTTAAGATTCGCGGGTGGTAGTTTGCAGCTGTCGTGTTTGTTTTCATTCCTTTGCTCACTTCTATCATTTTCTGAGAAATCCTCCTCAAAATTATGTTTCTATGAAAAAGAATTTGATATTAATGAGGGAAAGAGCTCTCAAAAGACTAGTAGTATTTCCTCTCAAACATGGGGTCGTCATATTTTCTGGAACCAAAAAACTTGTGGTGTATCATCTGTTCATACATGAACCTCAAACTGCAAACCTGACGGCAAGGCACTGGTCGCATGACTTCTTGATGTTTGGGTTTCACAGGAAATGGCAAAAACCTTGATCTTAATGTCTCTTTTATCATTACTATTTGTATGTAGTTAACCCTTTAAGCCCCAATATCCACATACAAATTCTCCAAACTGACCTCCATACATTTCCTTAAAGAATTAGTTGAGAGAATTTGATAAAAGATCAAAGTATTTTCTCTTAGGTGATCATTTAATTAATTCTCATAACCTCATCTGGATGTCGTTAGGAGAAAATTGCTGTTGGTCACTATTGGGACTTAAAAGAGTGTAAGTTTTCAGCTCAGGGCAGATAATTATTGGCAAAAGTAAGATGATGATAATTTGATTATTGAATTTTTTTCCTTTTGTATTTCTAGCCATACAGGAAACAGTTGTATAACCTGTTCATACAAAGCCGGAAGTGGAATGCTGTTTCCACTGGAAAGAGGCTTCATATTCGTTCATAAGCCCCCTGTACATGTACGCTTTGATGAGATATCCTCTGTGAACTTTGCTCGTGTGGCAGGGGGGGCAGGGTCCAGTCGATCATTTGACTTTGAGGTGGAGACTAAATCAGGGACCACTTACGTATTCAGTAGCATTGAAAAGTAAGTAGACTGGAAAGGATGTGGAAAAATAATAATAAGATTTTAATGTGCTTGCTACCTTTGTTTAACCCAAACGTACACCTGTACAGTAAAAACTTGGAATAAGAACCTGCATTTTCCCCAGTTAGCCTTAACAGGTTCTTACTTAAATGGTAATAAGCACAAATTGAGGCTGTTTAGGTTCTTAAATAGGTTCTTGTTTTAATTGTAGCTAAGAATATTTAGTAGTATTCAGCTTATTCCTTATGATATAATCTGTTTACCAAATTAGTATCTATGTAGTATAAGAAGAAGAACTGAAGCAAAGATCACATGAACTTTGAAGTCCTCCTTGGGGGAAAATAAGATACATGTATCTTATTTGCCCAAGCGCACAAGATTTTTCTTATACATTTTAGAAAATAAGAACATGTTTGAAATTTTAGGCTCAAACGTTTCTTGTATAGAGGGGGCTAATTAGCAAATTTTAGCGTAACAGGTTCTTATTAATCAGATTCTTACACATGGGTTTTTACTGTGTTTGGTTAAAATGGTTCCTGTGATAAGCCATGATTTTTCCCATCCACGTACTGCTGGTCTTCATTAAGCAATGGTGTGAATAGGGTGTGTGATATTCCTCAATTCAGTGTGTGTATGAAATGTTGCAATCAATAACACATCCATGTCCAATACCCTCCACTAGATTCCAGTGGTCAAAAACTGGAGTCCACTGGAGTTTATACTGGAAGTCTAGTCATAAAATGAAACTACCCTGGTAGAAGTATAAACAAAAGGAGCTATCATGAGACGAACAATTGAATAGGCCACTTCTGAGTTCCAAAACCCTCTTTTTCAAAATGAGGTTAAGTGCACAAGCTTTCTTGTGAAAATGAGTTTTATTTGCATGAGAATGAAAAATGATTTCCATATCAAAGGCTGAGCACCTACCCTCGTTTTGAAACAAAGGCCTGGGGGAACACGGAAATGGCCTATTGTTGATCCTTATCATGAACAAACCATGAATAATATTCTTTATAATATGAGATACAAGACAGAACTGTTTCTTGTTCTCAAGCCTAGCAAAAACTAAAAACATTACTTCCCCTGTAGAAGGGAGCCAAACATGAACCACTTAAGAGAAGTGTTTTCTGTTTAGTCAATTACAGTTCATTTTTTGGCCTTGAGACAGCTCAAAAACAGATTTTTTCAAATTAATTCACAAATGTACACTGTTTGTAGCATTGAAATCAAACAAATCAGCTCTTTTCATAATATATTTGTAAAATACAATCAAAGGTTTAGTACATAATCTGAGTGAAAAGAAGCTAACATTTAAAGCTTACTGGTTCTGAACATATTTTTAGAGAGGAATATGGGAGGCTCTTTGATTTTGTTAGTGGGAAGCATCTGAGAATCAAGAACACTGGCAAGGTAAGAGTCTTTGTTTAACTTAATTTTGTTTTTTAGAGCTCAGCATTAGTAACTGTCATTGAGGTAACTATCCACTTAGCAATATGTATGCGTCTTAAATGCTCTGTTCGCCTCTTTGATTTTTGCATCAGATAGGAAATCTGTAAACCAATCATGAAAGCCACAGTAGCAAAACTAAGTTCACTTCCATTGAACTTAATTATTTTTGATGTTATTGATAGTGTCTTCTAGTTTTGTTTTCAAGATATTATCAGTTGAGCTGGTTTAAATTAAAAATGTGAAAAATGTGTGATTGTTGTTTCCTTTACTACTGTTGGAGACTGGGCCTGATTGTAGTTGAGATTTGATTGACAGATAAATTGTACATGTGAACACAACTGACTGTGACTTTAGGTCATGGAATCTTGTCTGATTCTGACGCGAGAGTGAGGAACTGAGTTTTTTGGTTGGAGAGAAGGGAAAGGTGGACACAGGTTGTGGTTATTTCATCACTACCGCAGTAGACAGTCAATCTGTAAGTTAGTTGACCAAGCCAGGTTTTTGCCCTACTGTATTTCCGGTGTGAAAGCATACCGCTACTATTAATTTCTTATCGGATATTTCCCATTATTGTCATTTTAATTTTTAATGTTCATGTGTGGTTAAAGGTGTCATCTAAAAAGTATGAAGATGAACTGATGGCTGGTTCAGATGAGGATAGTCATGATGCTTATCTGGAGCAGATGAAAGCAGAGGGAGCTGAAAGAGATGAAGATGATTCAGAGTCAAGTGAAGGAGGTCAGTCTGTCTACCAAAAGGGTTTTTCTCTTAGATATTATGAGTATGATTATGATTATGATTATTTTTGCCTTTTTTATCAATAGTGTCGTAAACACTGAATGGTTGTCTGAAAATCACTTTGTAAAATAACTAGGATAGTACGCGCGCTCTGATTGGCCGAGAGGCGTATTTGTATGAAAGGATGTAAACGTAGACTACGAGTAGTCCCCATTTTTCCTCAGGGATAGCAGAGCGAGCGAAACGCGAGCGCGCGTGAAAATCACCCCACGCTTTGGCTTGCTTTTTTGTTTATCCTTTTTCAAGTTAAAACTGTCAAAAAAGAGGGAAACTGGTACGAGCCACCTTAAGCAGACCACGAGCAGTGGTCCTTCTTTCCTCAGAGCCACCCGCGGTTAGCGAAAAAGTAAACGCATGCAAATTAATGATACAAAGGAGGAGAGATTGGGGCAGAGGAAGCTTGTACCTTGTGGCTTCGTTTCTCACCCCTCGTGCGTGCTCTGATATGTTGTGACTCAAAAGAAAAAAAAAGAGACTGCTTGCATTGTAAAATCATTGATTCAAAAGTTAGAAACAGGACATATCTCAAGGCTTGTCCCATGAAAGAAGAACTCCTCATTATTCGGTAAAAAAAATAATGAGTATTACCAGTTTATCAGCTCGCAAATTAAGTGGAGCATAGAAAGGATGTGACACAGAACCCGCATAATGGAAACTGCAACGTAGGACCAACCAGGATGAAACTTGAGCAAGTACGCAAATACATATACGAATTATTCACTCTCTTTATTCTACTAAAGAGCAATTTCAGTTTGTGGACAAAACTCAGGGTATAAATTAATCAGTATTAGTCTCTTGGGGGACTTAAGTGTTGCTGTAAGACTCACCTTTTTGTTTTCTAATGTGACATTATCAGATTCTGATGATTCGTTTGCACCTGAAAGCGGCGCGGAGGATCAAGATGTTAGAGAAGAGTAAGTCTGCAGTGCCTTAAGTAATAATATCAGTCTACCCCCAGTTGTTCAAAACATGGAGGACAATATCCACTATGTAAATCACTATCCAGTGGATAAAGATTAGGGAATGCGGTGGATTATTTTAAGCTGGCCTGTAACATTAAACATATAATTTTATCTAGTTAGCAATTATAAAGACGTTTTTATTATTATTATTATCGTCATTATAATCATTATTATTGTTATTGTGTTACCACATCACCCTCAGCACACCATCGTCATCATCATTATTATCATCGTCATCTTCACCTTCACCATCAAAGGAGATTTACCTGATGGAAAATGGTATCCACCCTTTGAACGGTCCTGAACACGCAGATTCATATCAAAGGCTCCTTATGAAAAACTTTAACAAGTGGCGTACAATCTTACCAAGGAAAAATCTTAAATCAAACTCTGTAAATTTTACTACAGACTTAGTATTGTGTAGTATGCGTGTAGCTGCTCAACTATTTTATAAAATTGTTTTTTTGCATAAGACTGCGATTCTGCTTGGACGTAGCTCTTAGGGACGGGTAGACTTTCTCAAAGTCCTTCGCTTCTCATTTCCGGTTCCGGTGGTTGGCCCCAGCTCGGTCGCTCGCTTTTTGCCGCAGAAAACATAAAAAATGTAAAAAATCAACCGCTCGCGCTTCGCGCTCGATCGTGAAAAAAATTAAGCTCGACTTGAAGGCAAGTCTGAGGGACAGGGAGCGATGCGAGGCAGCTGTTTGCAATTGGCAGGCTAGATTCTGTTTTAGCCTGCGTGCAGACGATAACTAAACTCTGATTAGTACCGTCTGCGAAGCAGCGCAGAGATCCTTGTTCTGGACCCCCAACCGACTCAACGAATTACCGGAAGTGCGTTTCGAATTTCCCTTCAACCTGATTGACTATTATCAGTCTTGCGACAAACAAAACAAAGGTCTTTTTTAACTGGCCAATCGTGGTGCGTACTCAAATCTGGGTACACAGCTGGAAGTCCAGAACAAGGATTTCGGCGCTGTTTCGCAGACGGAGTTAACCACAGTTTAATTTCGTCTGCGCGCAGGCTAGATTCTGTTTCTGATACCTGGCCACCCAGACTTCAATCTTTAAGTCGCATTAAAGGGAAGGAAATCTAATGCGCCAAACAATTCGAATCTTCAACAACTCCCTGGGTAACCCCCCCCCCCGGGCAAAGTGAGTCGGGCTTATATCATCTACCAATGATAATATACCTTGTATTAAAAAAGGGAGTGAATTAGGGTCATGGTAACAAAATTTCATACCTTTACCTTTCAAATCATGTTCGAACAAGCCAAACTCTTTCATCCAACTATGTAAAAGATCGCAGTATGGAACTACGTTGTCAGACCCCGGATCGTAAAAAGAAGTTAAAGTTGACACTTGCGGTTCTAATTCCCCATCCTACCTAAGCAAGAGTCAAATTCCCTCCTCACCGAGCATAGTACGTGCCCGGGGTTTCCCTGGGGGGTATGTTGAAGTTTTGAATTGACTGGCGCGTAAATTTTAAAAAAGATAAATTATGAGTCTCAAAGATCGATCTAGGTTTGTTGTGTAAATTAATAGACTGTGTTTGGTGGCATCTTATCACCAGGTTTGAGAGCAACCCATCGTCTTCTGAGAGCGGATCTGGATCCGACGAAGAAGGCAAATCAAAGCCAAAAGAAAAGGAGAAGAAGAAGAAATCACCTGAAAAGAAAAGGAAAGCTGCTGAACCAAGCACCAGCAAGTCACCGAAAAAGAAAGCCAAGGTTGCGGTATGTCTTAACAGCAACAGAAATTATCAATTTATCAGTCAGTCAAACCTCATCTCATTCATTACAGTAATTTCCTTTCCACAAAGCACAGTCTAGAACTAACTCCTATGCCTAGATACAATATAAAAGCCTCATGACAAATATCATGGTTGTTCACCTTTACTTGGGCAATGAATTCAATGAAAGGAGTTGTGCATTGAAAATCTAGTTTTGCTGAATTTTAGCAAAGAAACAAAAGCTGTTCACCTTTTGGATTCAAGAATTCGGACTCACAAAATACACACGACGAGAAAAGCTATTAAAGCGAAGTCGGCGATATAATTTACAAAACGTGCGAATGCAGCAAAGGGCAGACCCCATCCACAGGTATCCGGATATTTCTTAATCCGCGCTTTTTTTTCCGCATTCTTAAATTTCCACATCCACACGTATCCGTTTTCAAATCGAATTTGCCCGTCCACACGTATCCGACACGTATCCGGATTCATTCTAGTACCCAGGACTCCTCTGGGATTTGGTAACAGAGCATGCGTCGTAAAAACGGGTAAGAGAGAGAACTTGGGAGCAAGGTTGTCATGTTGAATACAGTATTCACGGTAAAGAACTGAGCTCGATCTTGTTACGTCACCGGATAAAAAATATTCGGATTTAGCGTTCACACGATTGCGGATTCATAGCGTATTCAAAAATTTCCACTCTGGAGAGCGGATTCAAAAAGTTGCGGATTAAAAAAATATAAGGACACGTGTTGACGGGGCCTAAGAATGGTTCTGTTCTCAAGATCAAAAGTATTCACGCACGAGTGAGGAATGTGTTAAAAGCGTGCATTTTACAACGTTGAAGAACGCATTTTTGACATTGGTTGCTCTTCATCTTTTATTACTTGGACCTCTTTCGGAAGTCGCAAGAGTATTTTGGCCATGAAAAAATCGGGAAAAAGAGCTCAGGTGTGGTATATAATCATGATATTTAAGTACAAGTATAATTATTCTCGCCCGAATAAAGTTAGGTGGTGTCAAAAACTATCGCGTGTGTAAAACTGGAAATATCTTGTATTCAAATTACAGCTATCAAGTTGCTTTGTGCAGTACTCATTGTTTACTGTGTTGTACGAGGCTTTCAAACGTTTGTGGCAGCGGATCATTCCATTTATTACTTATATGAAAACGACTCACTAAAACTGCCAGGTTGTTTAATGCACAGACTGAAGGTTGGGCAGTGGCTGTCAAGTAGCACTTAATAGGGAGCTTGAGCAACGACGATCGATCGTAAAAAAAGATTAATTTGCGTTTTTGCAAACTTTATTGCGTATATTTGGACTCTTTCAGTATGTGAAATGTACGCGAGTTCTCCTGGAATTGAATTCTTAAGGACTTTATTCAGGTTTAAAAAGAGAAAGGAAAATTATTCTTCGTATGTTCACGTCCTTCGTAAAACGTCGCATTAGGAGGTTTCAGGTCATAGTCAAGCAGTGGACATCAAGGAAATGTACTAAAAACCGTGATGCTCGTGCAGAACTGTTGTTTTGTTCATAAAACCAATTGTTTTTCGACGTTTTTGTTGTCGTCGTCATGGTTGCTTAAGTTACCTAACTTGCTATAGTGCACTCTGCTCCGTCTTTCCCGTGTTTGTGTATAGTTTAATTCATGTAGTTTCTTTTTAAAACAGTCTCACAATTTAGCCTGAGAGCAGGCTCACATGTTTGGCGTTTCTTTCCGCTAGTCGCAGGGGCGGATCCAGGATTTTTTTAGGAGGGGGTGCACTCGTCTCTTGCTCTACTTCAACACCAATAAACCACATAGTTTTTTTTTTGCAGAATACCAGTTGTATTAGAAAACCGCAGGTCATCTCGGGGGGGGCGCACCCCTGCACCGTCCCCCTAGATCCGCCCCTGAGTCGAGCAACGCAGAAGCCAACGCGACGTCCAACCATGAAAGCATCGCTTAGCCTGCGTGGACGTGTGTCAGGCGTTAAAAGGGAAAGAGGAAGGGGCGCGCGAGAGCACGAGGCCGGGCGTGCAAAGAGGGGAAAAATAGGACCTCCTCGCGCTCTCGCGTTTGAATTCCTTCTTCCAGTTTTCCTTTGAACGCCTGATACGCAGGCTTGGCGGCGCGAAACCCAAACACAGTAGCTCACCCGCAGGCTACAGTTACTTTAAACTGGAGCTCACCTCAAAGGTGTAACTATGTTTTTTTTTCTGACTTTGCTGGCTGTATGCTTTCCTAGGCAGAGAAACCCGAAGGCAAGAGGAAAAAGAAGACCAAGAAGGATGCAAACGCTCCTAAGCGATCGCTATCGGCGTACATGCTGTGGCTGAACGAAGCTCGAGCACAAATTAAGCAAGAACACCCTGGCATCTCGGTCACTGAGCTATCCAAGGTTGCAGGGGAAAAGTGGAAAAAACTGGAAGATAAAACGGTGAGTCGATAAGTCATCATTCATTTACTTCTGTACTCATTTAACCGCCGCTGGTTTCTTCGCTTTACAGTGTGCTCAGGTCCCAAGTTATAGGTATTGCTTCGTGTGGTCCTTGTCCAAGGTTTATTTGTTTGGTAAGATTTGTGTAAAATAGAATGAAATTGTTGTATGTATAATAAATGTATGGGGCTGTGTAGAAATCTTACTTGAAGGTTTTCGTAAACGCTTCTCGAGAAGCAATCTCGTTCCCAGAGGCTGCGATCCTTTTGGTCAGCACCAAGGATCACTGAATAAGGGTAACGCAGACTCTGGGACGAGGTTGTTCGAGTAGCGGAGAGTGTTCTCCACTTGTGCATTTCCCATAATACTCCTTGTCCCCCCCCCCCTCCCTCCCTCTTAAAGTTTTGTGTAATTTATTGTCTTCAATTTCTCTTGGGGCGACTGTAATACCCAGGAGGAATTAAAAAGTAATGTAGACGGAGGGCTCTCGCTTTCCTCTGGACAAGTTAATGTTTCGGAAAACGCTGACGTCATAGCTACTCGGAATAGATGAGCATATAGCCTGGAACGAAAACTTACCTTACGAATGAAAGGTCCAACTGAAAACGATGCGAATACGCAAGGAACTTTCGATGGTGAGGAGAGGGCGTTAATGTTAACTCGAAAACGAAGGTGTTCGGAAACACATTAGAGTAGACTGGGACTCCATTGTTAAGCTGGGTCAATAAAGGTCATTCCCCACTAAAAGGTTACTGCTTACTGCAGATTTGAAAACAGTTCAGCGTAAGCGAACAGAATGTGTTGGCTACTCAGTAGACCTGCTTTGAATGTTTACGCTTTCTTTTTCAATATATCTTTTCTTTTCTGCCTTGTTCAGAAATGGCAAGAACAAGCGAAAAAAGACAAGTTGAAATACGACGAGGCGATGAAAGCTTACAAGGAGAGCAAAGCGAATGAACCGAAAGAGAGCCCTGAAGAATCCAAACCCAAGAAGAAGAAAGGCTCAGTTAAGGAGTTCTTTGGAAAGAAAGAAGACAAAAAGAAAAGCTCGCCTCGTAAATCGGGTGGCGGCGAATCACAGAAGTTTAAGAGTGCGGAGTTTGTGGATACAGACGAAAGCTCTTCAGAAGAAGAAGAAAAGGTAAGCTATGATCTTTTCCCATCAATTTTTTGTGGTGGTTGTTGTTGTGTGTGTGTGTGTATACCCAAATGGCCTTGTTTTTTTATGATATTATGGCCAAACAGATTGGGAGAAAAGTGCGTTGTAAATTCAGCTAAGAAAAAGGATACGAAATTTGGTTTTCGCCATTGTGTGCGGAGAGTAGGTTGGTCTTACCTTTTAGTTTGATCACGACTACGTTGTTGCAAAAGAAGCCTTATGGTTTACCCTTTAACGTGAGTTTTTTGCACTTTTGGAGGAGCTAAATGCCATTTTTCGGTCTGTATTTCCTGTACGGTAACCGTTGAAACTGGAAGGTCCATATGGGTCTTCTGTATCCCGTAAAGTTTTCTCCTGCTTTCCCCATTATTAGCAGACGAAACTTTGACTTCTCAGATTATGTTTTGTTTGTAACTTGAAACGGCAGTCTAGTTCGTTTTGTTAACATTACCAATTACACTTCCTTATGGGTTATGTAACGTAACGTCAACGAAGAAATTACTGGTCAACGACAAAATCGCAGCTTCTCGTCCTACAAATAAACTTCCCGAGCATTATATCAAAAGTTACAAACAACAGAAATATGAACTTTGATGGAATGTTAGGCGAACAAGTTTTCAAAAAGCGCTATTGAAACTGATCCATTTTTGATCTTCAAATTTGTCCATCCTTGCCCACTTTGGTATTTGCTGTGTAATTTATATCTTCTTTTAATGTTTAAACGATTATTTTATGTTTTATGGCTCAATTTGCTGGAAGTTCCTACTGTTAGAATGATAAAATTCAATGATTTCTTCGTACATTCAAATGATGTTCTGTTATTCATAAAAAACAGAAGTCTAAAGCCAAATCCAAACCGAAACCCAAAGCAAAAGCAGAAAAGGCTAAGAGTAAAAGCAAGAAGGATTCAGACGAAGAATCTGAAGAGGAGGAGGAATCAGAAGAAGAGGAAGAAGAAATGAGTGAAGGATCTGATTCAGATTGAGGATAGCCGGAAGCCGAAACTGGATAATAATCTCTTTCATTGTCAAGAGTAGGAAAAATCATTAGCCTATAATCTGTAAGAATAAGTTGTCATGAGAAGGTACTGTATATAAGGTATAATTAAAATTTCATCCGGTTTTGCCAATCAGTTATCACGTGCAAAGATGTTAAGTAAGAGACAATGCCTGTTTTCTCGTCTACGCTTCACCCCGCTTCTCTTGTCTTGTTTGCCGCTACCCAAACGCTGTCATAGAGGGCTTTAGATTCTAAGACGAGAACGACTACGAGTACGAGATTTTCTCAATACTATGCAAGCGCGTGAACCAGCATCATTTTGGCGGGAAAACGCGATAGCCTTTGTCATTTTACTACGAGTTTGAGCGAAAATGTCGTAGTGGCGAGAACAAGTTTTCAAATGTTTAACGTTTTGTCATATTGCGATCGGGAGAGGGCTTAACCTCCTTCAATATAGATAACAGTGCTAACTTTTCTGGTAAAATGAAGCTTTCCGGGGTTTCTCTTTTTCGAGAATACGCGAGAAACCTTTCAGTCAAATCTCGCACACATCGTCGTTCTCGTCTTCGAATCTATTGGTCTCTTATACGCCATTTGCACGATGACGTCTTTTTACTGCTAAGAGCAGAATTAATTCCGTTTTTCCTTTGATGTTTAAATTTGTTAATCTCAGTGAGGTTTAAATAACAAAAACCCAAATATGCACAAGAAAACAAAATCTTGAAAGGATTCTGGTAGTGGTAGTAGTAGTAAAATGACTTCATCGTGCAAATGGCCTGTGGAGCCCACTCATTATACACTGCACGCGTTGTATCTCGGGATGTATGCTTTTGCATCTTCCCATGATGCCCTCGACTTCATTCTCCTCGCTCTGCTGGCGCCTGGGGACGAGGAAAAATATTGGGCGCAAACATGACCTTTTGTTTTAGAGTAGAACAACTATACAATGTTGTCCGGAGAGAAAATCTTTCAGCCTAAAGATAGGCAACCCTTGATTTGCTTGTGATCGACCTTTATAAATAAAACGACCGTTAAAGCCTAAAGTTTCTGGTGGTAGTTTTTCTTCCCTGAAAACTGTAAAATGAAAAAAACTAAAAACGAACCGTCAACGGGAGAGTCCCTGCCCGCTAACTTTAATTCAGATGCAAGAGGCAATTCAAGTACTTCGGAGCTGGGTCGTTAAGAGTAAATACCCAGGGACGCTCGTCTTCGTTTAATCTTTGCATTGGAGTAAATAAGGCCCTGTCCACACGTAACGCGTTTTCAAAAGTATGCGTTTTCGTTGTTATCGAAAACGCTTCGATAGATTCGCTTCCATTCTACCGTTTTGATGCGTTTGCGACTGTCCACACGAAAACGCTCGATGACGTAAGTTAAACTCTAAACGCATGCTACGCGCACGGTCGTCGTTTTCATTTGATTCGTTTTCGACCGTCCACACTAATCAGACGATTGTGCGCGTTTTCGTTTTCATCCACTTTCAATAGCGTTTTCAAATCGATGCGTTTTCCTTGAAAACGCTCAGCGTATTAATTTGTGGACAAAGGCCTAAACGCATCATTTTGTTTCCGTTTTCAAACGAAAACGCATTTGTGTGAACAAGGCCTAAGATCACTACAATGCAAGAATTTTGCCCGTAAATCTTGCCCAAAGCAGGCTCGCACCTGGGTGTCCGAGGATGCCTGCAATTGAGACTGAAAACAACTGAGTACATTTCGCAACTGAGATATCTTGCCAGCGCTTTCCATTTGTCAGAATTGGCCATTGCCAGACCAGTCAGTGTGAAAATATAATAGTATTTTTTTCCAAAGGTATCTTCTACGTGTATATTATTTACTGATGTCGCTGGATAGTTTTGATTGAAAGTGAAATTCTCATTACGACGGGAGTGGTCTGGCCGGTCAGTTCTGACAAATGGAAAGCGCCCTTACAGTTGTTGCCGACTAAACATCAGTGCCTTAGGCTGGTTTTCACTAGCGACAGAGTCGGAGTCGGAGTCGTAATCAGAAGCGCAGAGCTTATGATCTAGTGAAAACAGCGTTCCGATTCCGCTTACGACTCCGTCGCTTATGTTCCGCTTTTGATCTAGTGAAAACCAGATTGTCGGAGTCGGAAGCAGAAGCAGAAGAACCAAACCAATCACAAAGCGTGGGAACGTGCATTGTGATTGGTTTGTCCTTCCGCTTCTGCTTCCGACTACGACAATCCGGTTTTCACTAGATCATAAGCGGAACGTAAGCGACGGAGTCGTGAGCGGAGTCGGAAGAAAATGGAAGCGTTCTGATTCTTCTGATTCCGATTCCGTAGCGCTTGTGACTCCGCTTACGACTCCGACTCCGTCGCTATTGAAAACCAGCCACACTTGTATCGGTTCACTGTAGGCAAAAATCGCCAAGAAAATAGTTGGCAGCTCTAGGACTACATGGGAAGGAGGTATTATTTTCGGCTCTTAAAAACAACAGGTGCACAGATCGATTCAGCTTGAATCACTTGGCGGACAGTGACACCCGTAACATCAAACCTGTCTTGTGCAACCTGCAAGAAAAACATGGTACATTAAGCCAGCAGAAATCACCGCGAAAACTTACATTTTTTTTATATTCGGCTCTAAGCAACCATGAAAATCCTAGTTTACTTCTCAATTGTCGAAATAGAGTCCCACATGTACGTTTACTAAAACCCTTCAAGGTGCCTTATAATATGATGTTTTTTTCTCTCAATTCAATGGGACGAATTCATCGTCATAACCGACAATCCTAGCTTAACTAAAACACTTAATAGTAGATTGCGTGTTGAGCCGTATAACTACTCAAACAGCTATGAAAGAGCTTTCAGGAAATGCTTTCATGTTTGTTTTTGATTGATTTTTTAAAATGCTTGCTTTAAACACAGGGATTTACATAAAGATTTCGCAACAGAGAAAGAAAAAAATCATTGACAACTATTTAAGACATGTTGATACCTAAATTTTAATATTAATTGGCTTATTATGAAAAATAAGCTATTTTTCTTGTTCAAAAGCAGTCACTAACCAACCGGTGGGATTCTGTTGTTGTTTCTGTACTTTGTTGTTGGCGGCCGTACAATGTGGTATGAAAGATTTTTTTTTTCATGCAAGAAATCAGAAGCGTTTTTCACTAGAAACTGTTGGATTTATCTGAAAACCATGGCAACTAGGCACTCCTGATGAAAATTTACCTGGAATTTTAAAGGGGCTCTTCATGAATGATGTAACATAGCTAGTCCATTGTCGCTGACCGAGAAATTGGAATTAGCGCTTAATTTGCAAGTTACCATCTGCGTGAAAACAGGTAAAAATCTGTGGCGATAGAGAAAGGGCTATTGTTTCCGAGGGCTGTTTGGGATTTAAAGCTGCAGATATTGTTCCATGAATGTAAGCACAGTCTTCTGAAACCTATACTGATGAGCTTTCTGGCAAGAGAATTTCTCAGGTATGCCCTTGACGAAACATCGTGTGGCACCAAAGAAGATGGCACGCAATGTCATATATCATTTTTTTTCAAAATTATATGGCTAGGAAATGAGACTGGAATTCAGCCTTGTTTTTGCTCCTTATGAGTCAGGGATAGTCAATTTCATGGACAAACTGCGAGCTTATAAAGTTTCCCGATTTGGATTTCTAACGGAGTTACTCAAAAGTTACAATCAATCATAAGAACTTTGACAGGTGTAAATCCTAAGTAATTAGTGAGTTTTAGTGACCGCTTCAGCGTTTCATGTTTTGCGTACGAAAACGAATTTTAGTTCAAAATGTCGGCGGAAAGGTCTAGATCCAAGGGCACTCCACTTATGTAAACATACTCCTTGAAACTGGACGTTGTCTAATGGAACTGAGAAGTTATAACTTTTTTCACAATCGTATCCGGAATTTTGTCTTTCCCGACAGGTACTTGATATAGTGGAATGAATTACTTGTATTTACTTTTTTGTGCTGTTGGGCGATAATCGCAATGATTGTTATTGGGCCAGTTTAAGAATACTCAGCAGGATAAAAAGAGTGTTTAATATAAATTAAATGATTTTAGAATCTTATCAAACGAAAAAAAAATCAATCAGTTAACCTATGAGAAATATTCATCGTACTTTGTCCACACCGTAAAGCATGGTTTCGACAAGAGAGAACAATGATTTCGATCGGCGTTCAAGGATTAGTTAACGTGAGTGAATCATGGAACCATCGGGTATAAAATAAACTAAATTACATAATTTTGAGTCGGTCTACGCTCGTTCGCAAAACTGGACCAAGAACTTTGTGGCTCTTTTTTTAAAATAAAAAACAACAAAAAACAACAACAAAAAAAGAATAATTGAAACCTTGACAGGTGCAAAAAAAGTAAGACTGATGCTTCTAGAGTCTTGAAAATACAGCCCGGCGATGCCTCTTGGAATTAATCTATTTAACAAATTATGATCAATAAACGTCTTTCCAAGCTATATGCGTGAAAGATTGCCTTTTTTTGCAGTAATGAAGTTTATTGGTTTGGTTACAGTTGAAGCGGAACTGTAGTGGAACTGTAGCATAAATCATGTTTTCTCCCTCTTCTATAACCTACTAATTAAGCCGATGAAAATTAAGTTTAAAGGAGAAAAATATTTTAAAGGTGTCTTTGTTAATTTGCGACCTATTTTATCTTCACAGGCATGTCTGAGTTCCTCTCACTATTAAACAAAATGTAGCTGAGGTGTAGATAATTAAATGCATGCCTGGTTATAAAAAGTTTTCATTTAAGATTTCGCCACTTGCAGAGTTTGTCCTTTACGGGTACCGTTTGGCTGTATTCAAACAAACTGAATATAAAAATCAATTTGGAAATATCCAGTTGACAGGGAAATTAAATTTATTTAGTTTACAGACCACAAGGTAAACACTGCACATTTTTTAATATAAATGCTAAACTGGCAAGGACCTTAACTGTAAATCATGATCACTGACTGTTAGTTATAAAAAAATACGTTCCGTTTAAACAGCAATTTTAAGGTTTTTTCGAGCTCTTTTGTATTCAACAGCAGCTAACAGCATTTTTTTTGGTGGCCCTGTTTTGGAGACCACCTGAATAAACTTCAATTGTCTGCCTCGTTTTGGCGCTGATTTTTCGCATAAATTAAGGCAAATTTATTAGCATACTCAGAATGAATTATTTAACACGAGCTACGCAGCTTTCGTGCATGTCGTGATGTTTGTAGCCGTTTGCAGGGTTTGTAGTAGAGAATTTTGAGAGTATTTAATTGTACTGGACGACCTTATGTTGGGAACGAGGTAAGCATATTGTGCCTTGCTTGGAAAGTTTGTTCTTTGCTTAGTGTGATGCTAGAACTCGTGGGACAAGCTTCGGTCATTACACCGCAATTTAACTTCTGTTTGCTCATTAGTGTGGTGCTTCCGTCGAAGTAGCCTAATTGTGTTTAAATATTGTGAACATTTTACACTTGGAAAGGCTTGCATTACTCGGTTGAACTGTGTTGAAAATAGTGAGAGATAAAACCCGTATTACGCGGCACGAGCGCGAGAAGAGCTGTGGAGATGGATTTAACGTGACCGACTGATATCGCGATATAGGTATTTCCGAAGAATCGGATTTTAGAGCCACGATAAAGATTTCCTTGCAAGACCACTGGCTAGATTTGTTAGCGTGATTAGTAGTAGGATACTTAGATATTTGGTTGCCGAAAATCTACATTTTAAGTGGAAGGTTACAAAATCGCCGGCACTTGCGAAAAGGGCATCACACTTCACCTTGGCTAATTCGAGTATTTGTGAGCGTTTGGTTTCTTTTATATTCCTTCTGTTACATGACACTGTAATTAATCTTTTCTACTCCGAAAGGAGGAAAGTGTTAGTTCAACGTGCAAATGGCTAGTTAGTTGTCTGAAATATATCGCTGCATGGTATCTTGCGAAAGTCATTGCATTTTGAATAACTATTGAATCGCGGGTTGGTCATTCAATTCACGCGTTGTCAAGGTTGTCCATATCTACGCTGAAGGAATTCGTCTCGTAGTTTTGCGATTT